TTTGAGATTACTAATTAGTGTGTGCTTCACTTTACGTCTTATTCTATTCCATCATCCTTTGCTTGTTTTGCTTGGTGTTGATAGGAAGAATATCCTATTGCGGACATAAATGAGTACATTGAGGATACAAATGCTATTGTACCTCCGGTTGTTGGTGCTTCAACTTTCAAAGTGGAACATGGTCTAATCCTAATGCTCAAAGTGGAGGGGTTTTTAAGGAATTCCACTGATGATGATTCGACACAACACCTTAGGAACTTTTTGGGTGTATGTGCTATGCATAAGCAGAACAACGTCTCAGATAATGCCCTAAGGTTGAGGGAGTTCAAGTACTCGCTAGTTGGGGACGCAAGGAAGTGGCTTCAAAATTTGTCACCAAATTCCATTCATTCTTTGCCTGAACTTGTCCGAGCATTCTTAGCTAAATGGTTCCCGCAAAGCAAGAAATCTGAGCTTCGGGATAAAATTTTCTTTTTCAAGCAACTATAGGGAGAACATCTACATGAAGTATGGGATCGATTCAAGTTATACTTGGTGAGGTCACCCAGTCATGGTTTTCCGGACTCTATCTTGATGGAGAAATTCTACATGGGTTTAGATGCTATGAACCAATCTATAGCCAAGAATTGAGCTGATGGATCTTTTATGGACAAGACATTCGCAAGGATCACACAAATCCTTGAAAAAATTGCACAACACAATCAAGCTTGGCACTCAGAGGACACCACAGGTGGAATTGCATATGTTCTCCCTCCTTGACAAACCTGATTAAGGAGAATCAAGAGAGAGATCAAGTAATTGTAGGGCTTGCCACCAACGTTAATGCGTTGACAAAGATGTTCACTGAAAGCCAAGCGAAGAAGGTAAATATGGTGGAGGATGTGCAAACCATATCAAATGAAGACTTTGAGGAAGCAAACTATGTCAACAACTCTCAAGGAGGATATCAAAGGCAACAATACCAAGTTCAAGGACAACAAAATCAATGGAGGCCTAACCCGCAAGGGCAAGGCAACGAACAGTGGCCAAATGGCCAAGGTAGCTCAAATCAAGGAAATTGGAATAACAACAACAACAACAATTTCTCAAATAGGAGTTCCAACCCTTATGTTCCACCAAAGGGTCAATATCCAAATCAAGGGTCCTCAAGTGATTCCAAGTTGGAAAGTATGCTTGAACGTGTACTGCAAAATCAAGAGAGGTCCGACACTTCTATTAGGAATATGACCGAGCTTGTGGGTTCTCATACCGCATCCATTCAAAAATTGGAGATGCAAATGAGAGACCTGCTAGGGAGCAAAATCCAAAGCAAAAGGGAACACTTCCTACTGACACAATTGCGAACCCAAGGGGTAGTGGAAGTGGTCCAACTTCTCACATCATGGCAATTACAACTCGGAGTGGGAAGGTACTACAAGGAGAGAGTCAACAAGTGGTTGAAGTAGAAGAGTCCGAGCAAGAGGTTGAGATTGAAGAGCCAAGGGTTGTTGAAGGTTAAAAAGTTCCGGAAGAGTTGAAAATTCAAGAAGTAATCGGGAAGAGGTAAAGGAAAAGGTAAGAGAGACACCAAAAGCTCTACCACCTATTCTTAGACCTCCTCCTCCTTTTCCTCAAAGACTTGCGAAGAAGGTTGATGATAGCAAACTCGAAAAATTCTATGACATTCTCAAGCAGTTATCGGTGAATATTCCATTTGTGGAAGAATTTCAAGAGATGTCGGGTTTTGCTAAATATTTGAAAGATTTGATTACCAAGAAGAGAACCACCAAGAATAAAGTCATGAATGTGACTCACCAGGTTAGTTCTATCATTGCAACATCCACCTTTCAAAAGAAAGAAGACCCGGGAGCTTTCACCATTCCATGTACTATTGGGGCACGTGATTTTGCAAGAACACTTTGTGACAATGGGGCTAGAATCAACTTAATGCCCCTTGCCATTTACAAGCAAGCAGGATTAGGTATGCCCGAGGCCCACATTATGAGGTTCCAAATGGCCGATCGTTCTATAAAGAGACCGGTGGAAATTATTGATGATATGCTTGTGAAAGTGGGAGAGTTCCATCTACCCGCCGATTTCGTAATCCTTGATTGTGCAGTTGACAAAGAGATCCCTCTCATCGTGGGGAGACAATTCCTTGACACAGAAAGAGCACTAATGGAGTCGGAAAGGAATGAGATCAAATTCTGTGTAAATGATGAAGAGGTTACATTCCAGGCAAGCAAGGGTATGAAACTACCACATGCATATGAAAGCATCTCAGTGATTGATGTTGTTGATGAAGTGGAAGATGAGGTTGAAATAAAGATGGAAGAACAATGCCTCGGTGAGGCATTGGCGGCTATTTTGGTAAACTTTGATGGTGAAGATATGGAGGGGTATATGGAATCAGTCAATGCATTGGAAGGACTTGGGTCCTACACCAATGCACCGAAGGAGCTCTCTCCCGACTTGGAGAATAGAGCCACTCCTCCTGCAAAGCCTTCAATCATTGAGCCACCACAACTAGAGCTCAAACCACTTCAACCGCACTTCAGGTATAACTTTCTTGGCTCAAATTATACTTTACCGGTAATTGTCTCTCTTTGTTGAATGATATGCCGGTAGAGCAATTGTTGAATGTCTTGAGGAAGCATAGGCAACTATTAGATGGACAATTTTGGATATACGGGGGATTCCCGCCAAAATTTGCGAACACAAGATCCAATCGGAGAATGAGAGTAAACCAAGTGTGGAGCATCAACGAAGGTTAAACCCTTCAATGCAAGAAGTGGTAAAGAAAGAAATCATCAAGTGGTTGGATGTCGGGGTAGTCTACCCTATTGCCGATAGTTCTTGGGTGAGCCCGGTGCAATGTGTGCCGAAAAAAGGAGGCATGACCGTGATTGAAAATGAGAAGTACGAGCTCATCCTAACAAGAACGGTGACCGGATGGACGGTGTATATGGATTACCGGAAACTAAACAGTGCTACGTGCAAGGACCATTTCCCTATGCCTTTTATTGATTAAATGCTTGATCGGCTAGCGGGAAGGTCATTCTATTGTTTCTTGGATTAATACTCCGGCTACAATCAAATCAACATTGCATTGGAAGATCAGGAAAAGACAACATTCACTTGTCCATAGGGGACGTTTGCATTTAGCTGGATGCCATTTGGGTTATGCAACGCTCCGGCCATTTTCCAACGATGTATGATGTCAATATTCTCCGATATGGTGGAGGATTTCTTAGAGGTATTCATGGACGATTTCTCGGTTGTGGATGATTCTTTTGAGCATTGTCTAGACAACCTTAGATAAGTGCATAAGAGATGTGAAGAAATGAACCTCGTGCTAAGTTTGGAGAAATGCCACTTCAGGGTGGACGAAGGCATTGTTTTGGGCCACAAAATTTCCTAAAATGGCATAGAAGTTGACCGGGCAAAGATCGAGATCATTTCCAAGCTTCGTCGACGTACTTCAGTTTAAGGTGTCCGAAGTTTCTTGGGGCATGCCAGATTCTATAGGCGTTTCATCAATGATTTTTCCAAAATTGCAAATTCCATGTGCAAACTCCTTGAGAAAGATGCAAAATTTGTGTTTGAGGAGAAGTGCCTTAAAGACTTTGAGGAATTGAAACAAAAGCTCACCACGGCACCTATTTTTTTCACACCTGATTGGTCTCTTCCATTCGAACTCATGTGTGACGCCAGTGGTATAGCTATTGGGGCAGTGCTTGGCCAACGTCATAACAAGGTTCTTCACTCGGTCTATTATGTAAGCAAGACACTCAATGTCGCGCACATGAACTACACGGTGACTGAGGAAGAACTTCTTGCAATTGACTATGCCTTCGAGAAATTCCGGGCTTATTTGTTGGCATCCAAGGTGATAGTCTACACAAACCACGCTGCTCTTCGCTATCTCATGGCAAAGAAAGATGCATAGCCTTGGTTGATTCGGTGGGTCCTGTTGTTGCACAAATTTCACTTTGAAGTCAAAGATCGAAAAAGGATGGAAAATCATGTGGCGGATCATTTATCAAGGCTTGAAAAGCAGGGAGACCAAAGGAAGGTCTTGAAATCAACGATGCCTTCCCGGGTGAACACGTATTGGCATTGTCTAACACTTTTTCTCCTTGGTATGCCGATATTGCTAACTACTTAGTTAGCGACCTTATTCCGGATGGATTGGAAGCTTATGAGAAGAAGAAGTTTTTGGGAGATTGTCGGCAATACTATAGGGAAGAACCATTCTTGTTTGATGTTTGTGCTGATAACATCATCTGAAGGTGTGTTCCATAAGAGGAAATTATGTCAATTCTAAAGGAATGCCTTGACTCACCGGTCGGGGGTCACCATGGGGCAATCAAACGGCGGCAAAGGTGCTCGAATGTGGTTATTATTGGCCGTCGATTTATCATGATGCCAATCAAGTGGTCAAGGCTTGCGACCAATGTCGAAGGCAAGGGTCAATCTCCAAGAGGCATGAAATGCCAATGCACTTTGTGATGGAGATAGAGATCTTCGATGTGTGGGGAATTGATTTTATGGGCCCTATTGTAAGCTCATGTGGTATGAAATACATCTTGGTAGCTGTGGACGATGTGTCCAAATGGGTTGAAGCAATTGCCTTACCAAACAATGAGGCAAGGAGTGTGACCACGTTCTTAAAGAAAAACATATTCACGCAGTTTGGCACTCCTATAGCCATTCTTAGTGATGGTGGGTCTCACTTCTGTAACAAGGCTTTCACAGGGCTACTAGAGAAATATGGCATCAAGCATAAGGTGGCCACACCTTATCATCCCTAATCAATTGGCCAAGTTAAAGTTTCAAACCGGGAGATCAAGAATATTCTAGCAAAGACTGTTAATGCAAACAGGACTGACTGGTCAAGGAAGCTAGATGACGCATTGTGGGCATACCGCACGGCGTACAAAACCCCTATTGGCACTTCTCCTTATCGGTTAGTCTTCGACAAGTCTTGTCATCTACCCGTAGAACTAGAGCACAAAGCCATGTGGGATTTAAAAAGGTTGAACTTGGACTGGGCTGAAGCAGCAAATTTGAGGTTAACACAACTCAATGAAATGGTGGAATTCCGTTTCCATGCATATGAAAGTGCAACTGTGTACAAAGAAAGGATGAAGTTCGTCCACGACAAAAAGATCGTGAAAAGGGAGTTCAAGTCATGTGACTTGGTTTTGCTCTTCTACTCAAGGCACAAATTGTTTTCGGGCAAGGTCAAATCAAAATGGTCCGGTCCGTTCAAGGTGGTCAATGTATCCCCTTTTGGAGCTGTGGAATTAGAATCGGAGGATGGGCTCCGAACGTTCAAAGTAAATGGCCAGCGAGTCAAGCACTACTTGGGCACAGGTGGACAAAAATATTTGGTGGAACAGTTGGCTCTCAAAGATGGTCCGTGCCGGATCAATGAGTGAGTCCAAAGAAAGGCAAACTTCGTCGTGCCGCGACGTTAAATCAAGCGCTTCATTGGAGGCAACCCATGTGTGGTAACATCCTTTTTTTGTCCTTTAAATTTTAACTTTTGTTAGATATATTTAATTGAGCAATTTAAAGTGTGTGTTAGAGTGCAGGTGATTCAAAAGATCATAACACTGGGTAAAATTGCGTGCGAAAGGGAAGAAAAGTGACCATGGGAAGTCTGCTACACATATGCTGTCGCATTTTAACTATGCGGACCGCATAGTGGTCGCAGACCCACACACTTTGTTTGGCAAAATTTGGTGGTAGAAAAGCGGCGAGGAGGTGCACTTTGTGGACCGTATTTCAATTATGCGATCGCACAAGTGCACCGCATTTTGTCCTCGAGCAACTCAAGTTAAACCCACCGCATAACACTTATGCGGTAGCATGATGTGTTATGCGGTGACTTATCCACCGCAAACTACCAAGGTAAGTATTCCTACTCGCATATCACCAGCATTCAAACATTTGTAAGACAAAAGAAAAGAATTTTTTTTATTAGAAAGAAAACAAAACAAAACGAAAAACAAAACAAAAAAAGAGAGAAAGGAAAACGGCTAGTTGAATCGAAAAGAGTACACAACACCTGTTGAATTGATCTCCCAAGTGTTCTCATTTCTCCATCACTGGTACGTTCTCACACTACCAGAAAATGGGCCTAGGGAAACAGTTATTTTGGCAACGGTTTGTAAACCATTGCCATAGAATAGATATAGTAACGGTTGCAACCATTACAATAGAACTTTGGGTGGTATAGCACACTTTAGACATAAAACCGTTGCAATTGTATCAAAACCATTTCCATAGAGATTTGTTTAGCAACGGATTTGTAAACCATCCCAATAGAGATGTATATTGCAACGGGTTTGGCAAAAAAGTTTCTATGGGAACGGTTATTCATTTTCCTCGTTTTTTTCGCAAAAGTTTACTGGCCCGCCAAGTGACCTGCCATTTTATATTTTTTTAAATAATTTAATAAAGCAATGAAAATAAACCACCTCCACCTCCAGTAGTATCGACACATCCCTCTACAGAGCACACCCGAAACCTTAACCCTAGCTCATTCCCACTCCCTCGCTGCCAAAATGCCGCCCAAGTTCGATCCATCTCAGGTGGTCGAGGTTTTCGTCCGAGTTACTGGCGGTGAAGTCGGAGCTGCGAGTCCACTCGCTCCAAAAATCGGTCCACTCGGTCTCTCCCCTAAAAAAATCGGTGAAGACATCGCAAAGGAAACCGCCAAGGACTGGAAAGGTCTCCGAGTCAGCGTTAAACTCACCGTCCAAAGACGTCAAGCTAAAGTCTCCGTCGTTCCCTCTGCCGCCGCACTCGTCATCAAGGCGTTGAAGGAGCCGGAACGTGACCGTAAGAAGACCAAAAATATCAAGCATAACGGTAACATCTCGCTCGATGACGTCATCGAGATCGCTAAGGTGATGAAGCCGAGATCGATGGCGAAGGATTTGACTGGAACAGTGATGGAGATTTTGGGCACGTGTGTATCAGTTGGCTGTACGGTAGATGGCAAGGATCCTAAGGATTTGCAGCAAGAGATTGATGATGGTGATGTCGAGATTCCTCTCGATTGAATGCTAATTATCAACTGATGGTAATATTATGTCAATTTTATTTTATTTTGTTTTGAGGATGTTATCTTGAGGATCATTTTGATATAACTATGACGAGTAAACTCTGGAATTTTATATTTGGCTTTGTAGTTTGGATTTTGTTTTTTCTCGATGAAGTGCTTTAGCATTGCTTTAAAAAAAAGTAGTATCGACACATCCAAACTTCCGTCTATGAACTCTTTTCTTGCCAAACTCCATTAATCCAAACTCTATTAATGGCCGAGTTTCAGATTTACTAAATCTTCTCATAGTCGAGTTTTAGATTTACTTTGTCACTTTCACTCTCTCTATATCTATGCAAGTCAGTCTTTCCGGCACTTCTCCGAAGGTTTTCCGATTATATATCCAATGAAAATTGCTACTGCTGGTTTCATGGAGTATCAACTAGAATTGAATTTGGTGTTATAATTTAATTTTCTTCACTGTTTGAAAGTCCATCATAAAGAAAATGATGGACTTTGTTTTGCTCTGATTTAGAAGAGGTATGCAAATAATACAGAAGAATATACGTAAGAAATGAGTATAAAAAATAGTAGTATTCTTTTATTTTCTTGAAGTAAAAATATAGTCTATAGTATTAGGTTGATAAGTGATTTAGAGTCTTAAATTTGTGCGTTTCTACAGATCTTTTGGATTAATTTTGATTAGTATTAATTAGCATTTTATTTTATGGGGTGAAAGTCTTGTTAATGTAGAAAGATAGTATTAGTTGTTTTACATGAAGCAGCTTCTCATATTTGTGAAAAGGACTTGATATTTTTTTGATAATATTGGTTTACATGACGCAGCTTCTCATAGTAGTAGTAGTTTTACATAAAGTAGTAGTTTTACATGAAGCAGCTTCTCATATTTGTGAAAAGGACTTGATATTTTTGTGATAATATTGGTTTTACATGAAGCAGCTTCGCATAGTAGTAGTTTTTACATGAAGTAGTAGTTTTACACAAAGTTCTTTTACAGATTGATGTTTGAGCAGACAGTAGGCAGCACAACATTATAAATGATTCTTTCTTCTGAGAACTATAAAAATCTTTCATCTTGTTTCTTAGAAGTTATGGGGTGGAAAACAGATACTTAATAAGTGATTTGTTTGTATCTTTTTTTCTGATGTAATTCCTATTTGGTTTGTTACCCAGGTTCATATTTTTACTTCTCTATATCCTAATGTTCCACAACTGAATCAGTAAAATGTTTTTTGCTCTTAACCTTGCAGATTCTTAAATGGAGCTATGTTATTTATTTAGGTTTACGTCTGATAAATTCAGTACTAAAATGACCTTTAGCATGAAGAAGACTGGTGAACTAAACTGGTACTCCACAATTGTGGTATAGATAATAGTGACCAATTTGTTAGTCTGTTAAGTTGTGTGTTATTTCTCTAAGCTTCTTTGATTTGAGTTCCTTAATGTGTTGCTTTTCCTGATTATAGTTCTTTAAGTGGTTTTATTAAACTCCATGGACGATGTTTGTAATTAGTGTCTAAATGCGATCAAGTGCTTTTCAACATGAGGAGATGCTTAAAATATTGTTATGTTTGTAATTTGAATTTTATCTCATACAGCTAGTAACTTTATTTCCTTCGTGAAGGTGGACTAATGAGCAAACATGGACTCATGCCGAAACAAATCAATTGCTGGTATATATGCCCTTACTTCCGATTTTCCCCTAAGCTATTCTAATTACCAATGTTATTCCATCTCTCTGATCCTATTTGACTGAAATACTTTAGTTCTAAATCTCGTATCTTTGTCTATTTAGGAGAAAACTGAAAAAGAAGGCAATCTTGAGTTGCCATAATAATCATCCAGTTAGCTCAAGTGATGTGACATGCTATTTTAGGAGATGATGGATAACACTCCTATCTTCAATTTAATGCTCTGAGCGGAAAACAGAACAGAAGGGAAGCTATCACCAACTTGCTGCCTGCTTATATTTGGTTGCTCAGGAAGTAGTGAAAGAGTTAATACATTGCAATACATGATAGTTTGGGTTGCTCGGCCTATTGTTGCACTCTTGTCAACTAAAACCTCAAGTGTTGTAAATTTGCCCTGGGAACATTAGATTTTGTAGGCATTATGCACAACTTTGCTGGCATAGTAGAAGACTGAGAAGTTCAATGCAAGTCCAAGTCTAATTGGGTGAGTAGGAGCAAGATCTGCGCTAGCTGTGGCAGTAGCAGCCTACAAAAATAGAGCAAGAAGCTTAATTAAGAAGAAGACAAACAACTAAATAAATAAAAAAATAATTTTTCATCATAAACAACAAGGAAACAAATGCTGCAGCTAGACATAGAAGAAGATTGAGCCAAATAAGATAGCGTGGAACAAAAGAAACCTNGGATGATGAAAACAATGAAGAACTAGACCTTACTTGAGAAGAATTTTGAATTGTTTTAGAGGAATGTTCTAGGAATCTTTTGTTACCAACATTTTTGAAACTTACTTACTCTCTTGAAATGTACTAAACTTCTGCACTCATGGGGTAGAACATTTGCTTTATGGATATTATTTTCTTGATGGATAATTTTATATTATTAATAGTTTCATTTTATTTTGTATTTAAATTTTAGTGTTATTATAATTTATTATATATATAAATATTTACTTATAACAGGTGCTATATTTTGGTTTTAACTGAACTAATACAATAGCCTACCAGAACCGTTGCAATAGGACACAAATGGCGTTCCAGTAAATAATGTAAACCGTTGCAATAGGTCCTATAAAGTGTTCCAGAAAGATCTATAAACCGTTCCAAATACATATATAACCGTTACGATAGCTTAAAGAAACCGTTGCTATATCCCACATAACCGTAGCAATAACTTACATAAGTGTTGCTTTAAATAATATGGTAACGGTTTAGAACCGTTGCATAAACAATATAGTAACGGTTTTAAATCGTTCCAATTGATAAAAATAATCGTTCCAACAGAAAAAGGGAAAACCGTTGCGATAGACGTATCTATAGTCACGGCGATGCAACCGTTGCAAGAACCGTTCCAATAGACTTATGGGCATGCGAGCTAATGTAACGGGCTGTAAACCGTTCCAATATCTCTATGGCAACGGTTTGACAGTCTATGGGAACGGTTTTCCAAGCGTTGCCGTAGACCAATTTTTCAGTAGTGCCTCGAGTGTAAGTTCAGCGCTAAGCCTGGGGAAGTGGACGTGGATGTGAGGTTTGAGTCACAGGTTATCCCAAGTAGAGGCAGCTTCAAGTACCTAGGTTCGGTTATCCACGGGGGAGGGGAGATCGACGAGGATTTCACACACCGTATTAAGGTAGGATGGATGAAGTGGAGGTTAGCATCTGGAGTCTTGTGTGAA